CCCCTCCCCGCCCCAACACGATGCGTCCAGTTTCTACAACAGAGTCCGTGGATAATAATATTACAGTGCTTAGATACCATTATTATTGCACGGGTGGGTGGGATGGGTGTGGGGGTAGTGGCCCTGCCTGCCAACGTGTCACCTCCCCCGGCCGCGGCAATGTAGGCCAGGACGGGGGGCTCGGCACGGGCCTAGGCCTGACCAGGCCTATGGTAAGTTACAAATTTCCTTGCTTCTTACGCTAAGCACTCCGGTTCATTGTTTACTATTATTAAAGCAAATTAGTTGACAAATATTACAATAAAAATGTTTGCGTGTGAAATAACTCGGGGTTCCTTGCTTACCCTTATGAAACAAATACGTTGCCAGATATTACAATAATAATCTTTGTGCACATAAGAACTCTGGTTCATTGTTTTACTGTTACGAAACTAATTGGTTGGCAGATATTACAACAATTATGTCTGTGTGCAGATAATAACTCTGGTCGGATGCTTACTATTATGAAACAAATACGTTGCCAGATTATAATAATACTCCTTGTGTGCACATAGCAACTTTGCTTCATTGTTTACTATTATTAAACTTATAAGTTGGCAGATGTTACAATAATTATGTTTGCGTGCAGGTAACAACTCGGGTTCGTTGTTTACTATTATGAAACAAATACGTTGCCAGATATTACAATAATAATGTTTGTATACTCTTTGGTTCTATTCGGTAAAGTCACGTAGGTAAAAAAAATAAACAAAAATCACGACGTTTCGGCCACAACACAAGTGGCCTTCATCAGGTGAAGGGACGAAACGTCGTGATTTTTGTTGTTTTATTTTTTTAACCTACGTGGCTTTACCGAATAGAACCAAAGTGTGTGGATCCTTGCAGTCACGAATGCTTCAAATCTAGAATAATGTTTGCGTGCACGAAACTAAATTTTCATTATTAGCTTGATAAACATTCCCTTTTTTTAGCTGTGCTTTTATCACGCTGTGACGGTGTACTGCCACAGTCTGTGATGTGGCCTGCTGATTAATTCACGCCAGTGCTCTGCCACTCTATCATCTACACTGCTAATTTCCCTTTTGCCCATTATGAGTGTGTGCCGGTCTATAATCTGTTGCCCGCTTCTTTAACCTCCCTCGGTGTACTGCCACA